CATATAAATAGTATTTTAGCGTATCCTGATTGAGATAGTTTTTTATTGTTAATATTTTTATATTGAACATTTAGTTTTATTTTTGTTAAGACTTAAAAATTGTTAATATTTGCATTTTTAGATTATAACACAAAGAATTTCAACAAAAATTTTAATCATTAATTCAAAAGAAAAGTATTAGTTTGACTATGGTTTTTAACATCTGTCTAAAAAAATTATGAAAGTAAAACACTGTCTTTGAATTATTTAGTATCCATAATTTTAGTAAAAGAAATATACTTGTCTGTTTTAATTAATTTCTTCATTGTGAATTATTAATCTTCGTAGCATTACCAAAGAATGCTTTTAAAATAAAACGTGTACTTAAAAAGGAATAAATTAAAAGTCGTTTCTTTTTGTGTTTTAACAGACATCTTTTAATTTATTACCTTAGTGAAAAAATAACTTAACACTAATATTTTCAAAACAACGTCTTTTTTGTTAATAACTTACAGTTTATTACAAATGATCGCTATAATTTATTGAATATGTTTGAACATATTATCTTTAATTGTTTTATTTATTTTGATTTTTTTGTTATTTATTATTTTATTTTATCAATACTATTTCACTATAATGTTAATTTATTATTTGATAACAATGAAAACATCTAGAAGTAGATATTTATAATTGAAAAAAATATCGATATATTTATTATATATCTATTGTTGTGAATAGTACAATTAATATTTTTTCCTCCAATTTATTTTAATTTTATAAAATTGTTGATGTTTATAACATAAACAAAAGATAAATATATTTTTGTACAAAACATCAAATTAATTATTATTTGTATCAAAGGTGAAAATTTCATTCGAGTATTTTGAAATTATCTCTATTTTTAACTACAGGACATTTATTTATTTCATTGCAAGTAATAATTTGACCCTAAGTAATCATCACTTTACATTTACCATAATTAAATGTAATTTTTTTTTTGTAGTTTGTAGTTTAGCTGAAACTTTAATTTTTATTATTTTGATATTTAAACAAAAGAAAATAATTTTCAAAGTAATCCATTTAGTAAAAGGATAACAGTCGCAATAAGAATTAAGAGTTGTTATTGTTATTTCCTTTTAAAAATTGCCAATGCACTTAAACAAGGCGACGATGATGATGGCGCCAATTGTTTACCATTCAAATGATGGTACCGCACTTACGTTGGATTCTTATTAAAAGAGTCAATTTTAAGTGCTGTACTGATCAGTCCTTGAAGTCTCGGAAAACCATTTTGCTTTAATAATCCGACACCCACAAAGTTAATAGCATAATAGACGAATCGAAATGTTTATTAATACATAGCATCAAATGTGTTGTAAATGAAATGTGGAGGATATGAAATATGTAAATGTATTTGAACTTAATTAGTATGCATCGGATTTGTGGTGGCTTCTTAAGTGTCACCCGCTATCGAAACGTATTTAACGTGGTAATGAATATTAATAAAGTATTATTTCTAGACATTGCCATTAATACCTATGAACCCGTAATAGCAATAATATTACTATAGATGATTTTCTATTGGTTGATATAGCAAAAATGTCTAACATTTGTGACTTCTACCAATTAGAAAAAATTAGATCAACATTTTACAAAACTATAATTTTCATTGTGTAACATAATTATTTACTTTGAAAAAAAAGTGAAATCTAATTAGGTTGATCTGTATCATTAAACAGTAATACGGTAAGAAAGGAAAATATTAAGTTTTTTGTTGTGCGTTTCACTTGTTCAGAGAGACTAATTGCGTTTTATTGTCTTGAAAAATGCATATTTTTATTATATTCATTATTTTTGTTATTTTTTCTGGCTCAAGAAAACATTCTAGTTATTTAAATAATTGGAACAACAACTATCTGACGATACGTTCTTTCACTAATTACGTAATAGGAACAAGAGGTTTTTTTATTTATTTGCATTGTCTGTTTTCTTTTTTGGCGAGTCGGACACTATGGTAATTAACGGGTCCGCTTAGATTCTTTGCAGCCAATAATTGAACCTCTGGGAATTGTACGAAAAGGTGTCTATTCTAAGTAAACACTAATTTCTCCATTAATCATTGTAGAAACGCGCAACTAAAATACTTAAAATAAATAAAAATTGATACAAAAAGTTCAATATTTTTATCACTATTCCTGGAAGTTATAACATCAGCCCAATTTCTTACAAATTCATTATTATATCAACCTAATTAAAAAAGAAAAATTAATTAATAAACTATGTATCTGCTAAATATTCTCCATATTTCGAGCAATCCGATAATTTATGTTTAGATTATGACAATAATTTTAGGTAGTAATAATTTTTTTATTTAAAAGCTACGTTTAATTGAATAAAGTTATGTTAGAACAATTGATTGGAAATAATCGTTTAAATCACGTTTATTGTTCTATTGTTAAAAGTAATATGTGGTATTGATGAATTAATACAAAAAAAAAAGTCACAGGACTTTGATTGTTCAGCAAAAATAAATGATTATATAAAATAAAATGTAGTGTCAGACAAGTGGGAAGTTATAGCAAAAGTATTTTTCACTTGGCGGTCGTATAATACTACCAGCGTTGTACAATGACTGATAATATAATGGTATTTGTTAGCCAAAGTCCGCCCATTCAATGTACACTGAACAGTTTGAATATTTATATACAGATATATATATATATATATATATTGTACAAATAACTTTAGGCACAGTCCATGTGCCATCCGGTTTTAAACTTTACTGCGTTTTGCGAATCCAGAGGCGTGTTATGGCTGTGTACGCTAACTGGTGTCGTATACCATTCACCTGGTAAAACAATATTGTGAGCATGATGTGCGACGATCCGGAGTCGGAAGTTACTGAAGTTATGTCTATACACTCGACAACAAAGTTTTTTGGAAAAAAAAATTCGCGTTTCCTGAGGTTACGAAAGCTGAGTAAGGTTAAAGCTAAACAATGGACTTTTTCATTGCCCCTTGCGTGTTTCACTATGTCCGCATTCACTTTTATTCAACAAAAAGGTACACACTCACACTTAGAATCCACACTAATAATAATAATAAAATAGTCGTTAGAATCAACGTTTAAACGGTTTCCAAAAGCCTCGAATTTTTTTAATGAAACATTAACTGACAGTCTCTCGATTTCGTTACCATTGCTATGATAGTTGGCCTATATTTTTTAATATTTTTAAACATTTTTTTTTTTTACATTCATAATGTAGACGTACTAGTGTACCAACCGTAATAAACTTCCAGTTAGTGCATCTATTCAATTACTATATTGTTATACATTTTGATTATTCAAATATTCAGTCCTGCTGTAGCTGTTTTCAAGAAATTTGCATAGATTGTAACATTTATGAGTTTGGACAAAAGATTCCATAAATAAAAATCTGGTTGCATGCAGAATTCATAGAAAATTTTTCATACATTATATAAATGATTCAAAAACATAAATTTAATTGAAGAATACTGTTATCAGACAATATTTACATATTTAAAATTACTTAATTATAAAAAGAATTTCATAGACTTTGAAATCTAAGTTTTGGGGATCACCCACTATCATGTCATTGAAATGCTTTAAATTTGTTATCAACCATTAATCATAATAGAACCGTATAGTTACGTTTTTTTTTTAATCTAAATTGTTTCAATGACCTTTGACTTTTACCGGATTTCGCCTTTAAATTAGTTCTGAATTATGTTCCTTATTTCACCAAAACTCACCAGTAGTTGGTGACTTTTGTCTTTTTTACAATATTTTTAATAGATCGGTTCTCTATAACATTTTTTCATTTCATGATATTTGTAAGCCTTATCCTGTTAATATTTTTAAATCTCATTTAGTTCCCATTATAGTTTCAACTATATATTTCCTTTTAAATTCAATCTGTACTATCTAGATCTTAATATTATTATTAATTCTTTTTGTTTAATAAGTTGTTATATTAATTTATTGTAATTAATTATATTCTATAACTTCTAAATCTCTTATGTATACGCATTTCTATGTATATTTTAGTTTCATTTAACTTTATTAATACATTTTATATATTTTATTTTGTTGAAATTCAATTAGCGTTAAATGTTAGTTGAAATTATTTAGTAAAGCATATAGAATTGTATAAGGACAAATGTTTGCCCAAGTGATAATTAATAAGGCTGTTAATCATTACCTACGAAAATACATTTATCATTGAATCAATACTAACACTAATTTATAAGTTGATTGTTGTTTATAGGTTAATTAGTTTATTTTATAAGGTTGATTTTAACATTTTTTTAAAAAGACTTGACATAAAAATTTATAAAGTAAAAACAGATAAGTGTTCAATACTTAAGTTAATATATCTGAATTATACTCGTGAGTTTATACCTGAATAACGATCACAAATATTTACTTAAGACGTGTAATGCAGTGTGCATAAATCTAATGACCTCGACCCAAACTTTCTTAACATTTTCAAAGCACATTAACAGCGATCCACACTTGTTTTCAGTTAAGTTTTGCTAAACGGTACGAATTCTAGTAGTACATATTCGTATTTCATATGACATCATATACAATACAACATTATAATATTTAACAGAGACCGTAGAAATCGCAAAAGCCGTCAATCGAATATTGCCCCCAATCGAAATAACAACAATATGTCTAGCACGTAGTTGATGGCAAATGCGTGTCCCGTGACAAATTCATAATAGACTACATATACAAATGCGCAGTACCAACCGCGACAATTGTGCAAAACGTTTGAATTTATAGGCTTTCCATAAAGTAAGAGATCATAATGAATAAACCATCTTGCGATTATCATTGAAAAATTACTCTATCGCAACTAAAGAAAAGCACATTGTAAATACATAGTAGATGTGTTATAAATTATCTTAAGAAATAAAATCCAGCACAAATATAATGAAATTTAAGTACGAGTATCATGTATAAAGGATTTCATATCATATTAAATACTTACTGCTAGTATCTGTCTTTGTTTGTGGTCCCGGCGAAGTTGACCAATTTAGTTTCATTTCCTAAAAAATAAATATGTCTTATTTTAATTTCATAGTAGTTATTTCATCTAAAACCACTTATAGTTTGCATAACTGTATAATATACAAATAATTTAAAACTTAAACCAAATAAACTTTTTGCAAAAGTTTATTAAATTCATGTTTATACATTAGATAATTAGGTCTGAGTGCATGCATGAAGACTGCACTACCTCTCTAACAATGTAGTTATTTGAAATTAAAATGTATCTCGCCTTTAAAATGCTATGCTGCATCAAATGAATCCAAAGGGAAAGATAGCTCTATAAATATAAATTAATAAACTATGTAATTAAAGGTTGCTTTTAATTAAACTAGTAAATGAAATTTTATTATTGATTACGTGATTGTTGTAAAACTTCTGACATACATTAATTAAATAAAGTTTTACAGACTAATATTCTTATAAAAGTATTTTTATTGTAAAAATTAACCGAATAACTAGATGGTTTTTCTACAACTTATATGGTGTTATAATCTAATCAAAACTTATACACCAAAATATGATTTAAATTTTACTCTTCTTATACTAATAAAATGAATTTTTATTTGCATAGAATACATTATAACATAGCAAAATTGCAGTACAATTCTTTATTATAAAAACTAGTTTATTGTTACTATTCATGAACATACTACTAGTAGTTTTAGTATTCATAAGTTATATAGATTACTTTGGTTCAACCCTCGTAAGTTAACATTACCATATAATCGAACAATGATGCACATAAGCCTAAAATTGAATGTTAAAATTAGTAACAATAGTACAGAATTATGTAAATAAATTAGTTTTTTTAAGTATTATTAAAGTTACTATTAGCATATAAAAAATTTTTTATATAAATTGCGATACTTGTTTTTTTTTTATTGCATTATGTAAATAGATATGTACAAGTATTCTACGTTATATGCCATAAAACATTCGACTAATATAATTTACAAAATACTTTAAATACAAAAAAAAGTTATAAATTAATTATATTTGAATCAGTGATTTGTTATACATGCTAGTTTTTTTGCAAACTACCATGGATTATAATATTATTATACTCCTATGTTTGCACATAATAGAATATTTTGCGTATAAAAAATTTCATAAATATATAATAATAGACAGCATTACGATTTAATGAGGGTATTTTTTGTTGTCTAGACTAGTACGTGTTTAAACGAGATAGAAATTTTTTTTTTGCTTGAGAGAAAACGATTAGTAAATTGTAGGATTTTACAAGGAAAAAAAAATCTAATTTTATTTATAACAATGCGTTTTAAATTGTTAATTGTTTTTTTAAATTTTTATCTTACAATTGTTTTTAATAATCATACATAGAAGTTTTATTTAAACTTAATAAATTATTAATTAAATATTCATATGAACAATATTTTCTTTAATTTTGATAGACTGACATATACTATAAATTGAATATCTATGGCATTATTGTATTTAAAATTTCATAAAAAATATTATGAATCGCTCAAATTTAATTTCAATCAAAATAATCAATATTCATTTATATCAATAGACATGTTTGATCAAATAGGATTTAAAAATTTCGTTGTAATATTGTTAACTTAGAAATTGATAATTTGATAGAACTTTAGTTCTGTTATTTTCTGAAACATGCATATACAATTGATAAGAATTTGAAATTATTAAACTGTATTTTTATAATGTTTTGTACCTATAAAAATAATAAATACAATATTGACGATATATTTGGCTTAAATAATAAGTTTATAGTAGTATTCATTAATGTATTTAAGAAGATGAAACTTTTTATTTTATGCCTAAATGAATAGTAGCACAATTTTCAGTTTTCTGTTTCAAGCCAAATGCCTTAGACATAACAATTTTAATTTATACTTTCTTAACAACGTTATATTTATGGCAAAATAGTTATAAAACAAACGTTTTAGGTTTTTCGATTAACATCTTCTATGCTGCTAGCAGGAACTCGAGAGAAAACGACCCTGGCACAATCTCCGAAAGCAATTCACGACCAATAAGATAGGCGAGGGTGGCCAGCGTTGGAGAAATGAACATTTAATTGCCTGAATCTTTCAAAAACACATGGTCCCGTTGTTGCAGTCTGAATACTACACCATTCACCAGTACGATCATCTTTTTCATTGCTTACCCAAAGGACAGAGTACGATGGGATTTAACTTTTCACAAACTTCTAGCCAACATTTCAAACGTAAGATTTTACGTATTTAGGATCATCCATTATTTTATCAAAAATCACTTTCATAATTTAAAACCTTTTTGGAGTAAGCGGAATAATTGAAATTTCGTAATAAAAAAATATGTAAATTGTTAAAAATCTAATCGAAAATTGCTCAGTTTTTAATTGTGGAGGTTAGAGTAAAAGTCGTTTAAGTCAATTGTTGGATATTTTTTTATTTATAGCGATATGATTTATTCTTTAGTTTCCTATCAACTAATGATATTTCTGAAAATAAAAATTCTCTTCAAACTTTATAACAAAATGTTTAGTTAATCTTTTTTAATATGTATGCATCTCATATATTTAATTTTCATTATTATTTACCAAAGCGTTTACTATAATATGAAATATTTAACAATTAATAAATTTAAAATGAATTTTTTCTATAAGAAAATGTAATCAATTTTTTAGTGATAAAATTATCTGATAAACGATGAGAGTTGTTGAAAAAATAGTCAATACACTTGTTTTTAATCCGCATTAGCGATGAGTCTCCTTTAATAATTCAAGTGCTCTTATGTATCTACAATAATTATTTTTGTATAAGTACTTGCACGAAAAATTAAGAAATTTTGTGAAAAAGCAAGGCGTAATGCTTATGCTGTATAAAGAAAGTAAATGAATGTCAATGGCCATAAGTTAACATATACTATTTAAACTAATTACATCGAATGGTTTATCATTGTTATTTCAAGCATGATTTCATGAATTCATCGTCACCGCCGTTCACAATGAAAGCATAAATGACAGGGTACTAAGGGGAAAACCTCATGAATTCCATTACATAACCCATATTTTGCAGATACATCGAGAACAAATGTTAGTTTGACGATTCTGGGTTCAAGAAATTTAATAAAGACAGCCAGTAAAAAAGATGGTTAATGGTATCCAAAAATAACATCACGAATAAAACTATTCTTACAGGGATTTTTTTCTTTATTTTATTCTCTTTCCAAATCTCTACGTACCCTTTACAGTGTCTTATACACACAACAAAGAGCACTCTGCAAGCTCTCATTTGCATACCATAATGCCTTTTCATAATATTCAACCGACTCAGGGACTGGGTGAAGTAGAAATATACCTTTACTTTGTTGGCTGCCCTCCTACTTTTATGTTTTATGCACGGACAGATATATTTAAAACTTTTTACCCTTCACACTCTGAGCGGGTATTCCCTAATGGATACAAGATTCCGGTTGGTTTTCCCATATTGTACAAAAAATGTATACACATACATATATATTATATATGCTTAGCAAAATAAGTGGATCAAATCTTTTTATTTTCTTGTTATTCGGAAATATCCTACAGCCCATTGCTTGGGTCAAAAGACCTATTGGATCTAACAAACATTTGGAAATATATTTCATTAAATAAATTAAATATTGAAATGATACTTATCTTTCCCAATAATAAATTGGGTATAGTACATTAAATGTAACTATTCATATTAAATTGAATTTATTAATAGGTAAATGTTTGGTATACATATGATAACACTTACTTTTAATAGAAGCATATTTTATTTTATAATCATAAGTTTATTATATAAATATTTTTTTAATTTAAACATATAAACTATAAATTCACATTTTTTCGTAAAACAAAATGTATTTTAATTTTAATTTGTGATGAGCAATGTGTATTTTTAGGCGCATGAGGTTGTGGTGCGCAAGATTGATTAAAAAAAAAAACCAGCACAGTGAGGACATAGTATAGTTGGGTCCAGTATAGATTATATATGACAGTCCTTAAAATCACTATCATAAAAAACGCTTCAATGCAAATCTGTAGATAATGTTCAATTAAAAAAAAAATGGATTGTTCTAAAAGCTACATGATCTCCTATTTCCTTATTTATATCCTGACAAGTTTTATGATTTATAAGTGTAATATATGAATGTGAGTATGTCGAATGAGAGAAAAATATAAATAGTACTTATCTTGAAAAAATTATAATCATTCATTCATTTTTCAAAAAGTTATAGCATTTTAAATTAAAAATGTAAACAATTTTTTTTTTATTAACATTGATGTCTGTTTTCTTCGTGAAGACAAAATAAAGTGCAAAATTCTTTTTTTAATATTGAGCTATATTACATAAGCTTTAAAAAGTTCTACTTTCTATATGCATTTTTTAGTTTTGAACCCCTACTATACAAAGTGAAATGATCCGATTAAAAAAAAAGTATATAAATATTATTTCTTGTTAACATTACGTAATTAAAACTCCTAATTATTGTACAAAATACTATACCATTATATATTATTAGTATTATTAATGTTAATATTATATAATAAAACTAAATATAAATTTTCAATAGCAGGCGACTCCAATGGGAGCGACCTCACAGGCTACTAATGTTAAGTATTTTATATATGTATATTTTCTAAACTATTTACTTATTGTAAAATTTTTTTTTTTACAGATTGTAAATTTCATAAATAAAAAAAAAATATATTATTTCTCATAAAAAAATTGTATTGATCTATACATTTTTTGCAAAGTTATAGCATTTTAAAGTTAAAAATGTAACATATAAAATTGAAAATTTTAACACAAAAATAGCTTACGGTAGCCATTTTCATCGTGAAGATAAAATAAAGTCCGAATTTTTTTTTCCATAATAAAATATATTACAATATGTTTAATTTAAGATATATATAAAAGTCTCGGTATTTCCGAAACACTTTCAAAAGTTAAGTTGAAAAAGTTGTCATTTTGAATCCACCCCTGTGGGCAGGTAAAGG